CCGCAGCCTCCTTGGCCTTGAACTCCTTCTCCCTCTGTAGGCGGTACTGTTCAATTTCAGCCTGAGCCTCTTCTTTGGCCTGCTTCAGCCTCCGGTTCTTTCCTGTTTTCAAAGGAAAGAGCTACATCAGGAAGTGGTTAAAAGTAGAAGAGGAAGCAGAGACAGAGATGGTAAATTCTAACGTAAAAAAGAAAAAAGTTCTAAGATACAATCCCAAGAGACACGCACTGGCGAGAGGGAATTCAGAGCTAACTAAGAGTATAGGTTCCTGCCTCCTACAGGCTATATTTAACTAAAAAGTGACTAGATTAAAAAGGTCTACCTTCCATAACTATAGACCGTAAAAATAACAGGAAAAAAAATTGGAATGTGTTAGACTATTCTCCCAATCTCAACTAAGAACCAACATCAAATGGGTGTCACTAGACATCTAAGGAACGCTTCCTCTTCCCAAGAAGTAAACACCTAAGTAAATATGCTGCTGATTGCAACTGGAGCTGTTTAGAAGCTTAGCAAAGAGACTAATAAAGTCCCAAGGGACATCAACCTAAAAATCTAACTAATGGAACAGATGATGTAATATTGGAAACTAAAGGCCACGCCTGTGCGTAAGGAAATAAGTAATGAAAGTGGTGCTGGGAAGGAATCCTAAATGCAGAGCTCTGCACAGTGAGACCGCACAAGCATCTAAGAGGTGAGACACAGGTGGTCTGGTTTCTAGAAAAGACTAGCTTAACATACAACTGGAAAACTTCTTTAGGTTCTATTGGAGCCTAAAAACAGACCACAAGACCAACAAAACAGATAGATACTCTTTGATTCTCTGCCAATCAAACTTCTCAGATACCCAAACAGAAAAAAAAAGAGGGGGGTTGGGGAGGAGAATTCTAGATGATTCACCTGAGCATTTATTTAATTCAGAGCAAAAAAAAAAATTGTGCGCCTAAAAGTAAGCTTTATTCTATATCAATGCATATCACTGCCCAAATCCCATCCAACCCATGTAGATAAATGAAATTAACTGTAACCTTCCACCTCCTGATTAAGAAAGGATCTTAGACCTGTAATGACCCCATGACATCAACACTCCATGAGGCAAGTCTGAGACAATCAACAGATCTCTCTCTAAGCACCCCAAGGACTATTTCTGCAGGTATATATTTACTTCAGTACTATTTAAAGCCTCCTGCTATCCACTGGAACCAACCTGTACCCCAATCATCTACATGCTATATGTAGCTATAGTCAAAGCCAACATTCTATAGTCAAAGCCAACACTCTACAGAGAATATTTATGGCCTGAACATTATGCAGTAGCTCCATAAGATTTCACAATATTGCTCTCCTGATAATTCCCAACCTCCACAGCTCCCTGAATTAATCACTTATGATAATACATTCTGTCAGCAAACATCTTCAAAGTCCAACTCTGAATGGCCTTCTCTGAAAATCAAAACTAAATACCTGAACAGGACATCATAGTTCTTCTCAATCCTGTTTTTCATGGGCCTTTACACATGAAAGCCAGTATTTTGTTTCACTCCAATGAGATAAACCATAACACAAATTTTTTTAAAATATTATGGTCCAAAGCAATGATTTCATGAAAAATTTGGATTGGACCATTTTACATCATGTATTGCCTCTTCCCAATTCCTAACAGGGAGAGTCAACTATAGTTACAGATCAAGAAAGGCAATGATTTTTTTCAAATTGTAGCCCTTCTCTGTTTCTAGTTATTGCAAATTCTAAGACGCATATTAGCCATAAACTCCTTCAAAACAAATTCCTTCAGTAAATATGTAACAGCTATTGAGATGTACAAGCCCCTGCACCAGGCTAGATGGGATAAAAGTGTAAAACATAACCCATGTCTCCAAGGCACTCAGAATTCTTCTTAACAAATTCTAAGCGTTTGTTCCTGCACTGCCCCCAAATATTCTCACATGCTTTCCAACAGATACTACTTCTGTTACTGATGAGCCATGACAGGACAAACTCTGAGAAGTCATTCTGAAAATACTGTATTAAGGGCATAATCAGAAATATTCTGCGAAGAACACAGAACTTTCCAGTCACTACCACAAGAAAAAAAGACTTGGTTCCAATCCCCAGCTCGCTCAAAGGAAGCTTTTCCTATGAAGAGTATCACACAACCCCTAAATGAGAAAGTACAAGACTCCTTTACTTGGGTATGGATTAAGAGTGTCTAAGTCTTACACTAGGAGGAACACCAAGGAATCACTAAGATTAATATTTCTTGGCATTTTACCCTTGCACAAGAAAGGAGACCTCGAAGCACCGGTGATGCTGCTTCCCAGGGTATGGTCAAATTTCTCTCTGAGCCTCATTTTTCCCATCTGTAAAATACGTAAATAGATAGAAACATCTATCTCACTAGATGGGAAACTGAATACATAAATTAGACACCGTCCCTATTCAGTCAAGTGACTGAGCGGGCAGGTTACTGCATTGCCATGACAGAAATAAGCACCTGGGAAGGGGTCCTAACCTAGTATGAGGAGAGGAGGTCAAGTCAGGGAACGCTTCTTGCAAGAACTGCTGCCTCAATTTCCAGATCTGAAGGAAGGCTGATGGCTCGAGAACAAAGAGAGGAAACTGAGAAAAGGCTTTTCTGGTCAGAGGACACAGCTGGGCAAAGTCTTGCAGGGAAATCAACTAAGGTGTCTTTGAGAAGTCACAGTAGTTCCACAGTCTGTCTGGAGGAGCGTCCTACCTGTGAGATTAGGGAAGAAAGCAAGAGACAGATGCAAAAATGCCTCCTCCAGTGGAATGAAGAATTTGGACTTTAATCTGCAGGCACTAAACGTCTGCCGGCTGTGAAGGTGGTAGGAAAAGTCCTATTTGCATTTTAGAGGGGTGACTGACTGCAGGGAAGAGAACGGACCCGACTGGAGGGAGGAGGTAACTTCTCCACTCACCAGTCTAGATCCACCTGTTAAATTCTTTAGCAAGCTCGCGTTTCTCCATTTCAGCCCTCGCTTCACCTGCAACTCACCTAGCCGGTATCTGCTTCCTTCACTGGGATTCTGAATACCACGATGGTGGAGATTACAGATAGAGCGGGCACCGCGCTTGGCACCGATTAGCCGCATTTAAAAAACATTTCAGAACTTAGCCTCCTGCAGGAGCCTCACGGGGCTTTGGTATCTTGGATTAAGATGCTGGGGGCAGGGACGGGGTAAAAGTGAACAGGCATATAAACCTTAACGTCTGACTGACGTGCCAACGAGGGAGGGAGATGCGTTTCTAGACTGAGCAACTGGGTAGACCTCCCTTCACTGAGACGGAGCACCCCAAAGGAGCAAGTTAAGTGGGAGGGGGGAAAATTCCTTCCGGATAGAGCCCATTTTACACGCGCCCCCAGACGCCAACGACGCCCACCCATTGTTGTCTCCACGCCCGATCTACTATCCCACAACGCAACTTCCAAACGACCTACAAGCTTTCCGAAGGTTGGAAAGAGCTTCCAAACACATCCATGGAGCTTCGAAACACACAAGCTTTCCCGATTGTTCCCACCCCTCCACCCCGCACAGTTTCGGGCCTCATCCGCCTACTACCGCCAGGGGCCTGGCCGCGTTCCTTGGACTCGCGCCACCCCTGACCGCCCCACCCCGAAACTCACGCTTGCGGGCCTCGGACACCTTCTCGGCGGCCCGCTTCTCGGCCTGCAGCAGCTGTTAAATACCCTGCGACTGACTGGCCATGGTGGAGAGAACTCCGAAGCCGAGGCCAGCGGCCTAAATCCGCTCGGTTACCCGGTTGGTCAGCTGATCCCGTCGCCCAAGATCTGCGCCTGCGCCGTCACGTGCTCCGCGGCGCTGTGTCAGCTGACTGCGCTTGCGTCCTGTGAGTAAGTGGGAAGGGGCGGAGGAGGGAAGAACGGAGCGCCTTGACTGCGCCTGCGCAGGGTTTGTGTTCACTGGCTTTAGGTCTCTCGGCCCAAGCTGTTCTTGGTGATGTTTCTGCGTTAGCTGGTTCGATTCTTGGGGCCGCCCTGCCACGTCATTCTTGCTGTAATTCCTCACTTTACAATATGCCCACCTTAAGGTCCAAAGAGGAAGGGCCAAGGTAGATCACTTTCCCCTATTCTGCACACTGCTTTGCTTTCCCCCTTTCTGGAACTTTCCTTGGGACTCAAAATATATTACGGGACAGACTCCGGGTATGGAGTATGGGTTGGGAGTAGGGAGACTTGAGCTCAAGTCTGCCACTAATCTGCTGTTTGATTTGGGGAAGGACACTCCCTTTCCGAACCCAAGTTCACGGAAGGATTGGACTGTTGCATAAATATTTGTTGAATGCCTGCCATGATCCTAAACCACAGCATAGAGCAAGACAAGGTGCACGGTTTATGAAAAAAAAATTAGCAAAAATAGAAAATTACAAACTGTGATAATGAAGGAAAAACGCAGGATGCTTTAAGAAGGAATGCGGGGGATGGAGGTGTCTGTGAAGGGCCTCCCAAGGAAAGTGACACTTCAAATGAAATCAGAAGAATGAGAAGTTAGCCAGGAAAGAATAGTGGGGAGTGATGGGAGGGAGGACTGGAGGGGAAAGGGACCAGTTTGCTTGGATTGGGGCAACTTGGCACAGAGCCATGCCCTACCAGGAAAAGGGAGATAGGAAGCCAATGGCTGATTTACAATATGACAGGCACTGTCCTAAACACTTGACTTACTTCTGACAGCAACTTCACAGTAGTGTTATTAACTCCAGTCTGTAGTGACCAAACTGAAGCTCGGAGAGGTTAACTAACTTGCCCAAAGTCATACCCCTGTTAATTGTCAGAATATTTTAATCCAACCAGGGCTGCAGAATGGAACATCTGACCCACCATGCTCTTCTGCCAGAATCTTGTGGGCCCTGGAAAAGACCAGATGATCTCTAAGAGTCCACCAACCACTGAGGACATAAGATATTGGGTCTTCAGAAAAGTCATGATGCATGTTTGCAACAGATGGCACTAGTTCATTTTTTGGAAATACTAGAGACATTCACATCTTTATTATTGCTATGTCATTTGACAGCTGACAGTTCTAGCTTCATTCTTTAAAAAAAATTGAGCAATTTGGTTGAGTTTTGGAGATTTTACAACAAGTTGAAGAAGGGAGACCAAACTGTGCATTTTTGCCATATTTTACTGTTTTACTTCCATAAGGGAAAGAATGCACATCAAGCTTGTGAAAAGTTGCATAAAGTTTACGGTGACAGTGCTCTACAGCAGCGGTTCTCACCCTGTGGGTTGCGACCCCTTTGGGGGTCGAACTACCCTTTCACAGGGGTCGCCTAAGACCATCGGAAAACAAAAAGATATTTACATTACGATTCATAACAGTAGCAAAATTACAGTTATAGAGTAGCAACGAAAATAATTTTATGGTTGGGGGTCACCACAACATGAGGAACTGTATTAAGGGGTTTAGGAAGGTTGATAACCGCTGCTCTATAAGAACGTCAGTGCCAATGATGGTTCACAAAATTCTGTGCTGGTGATTTTGATCTCAACGATACTCCTTGGTCAGGGACGTCCATCGAGGTTGATGACGACAAAATAAAGGCACTGATCGAGTCAAACCCACGTTATACGACACAAGAGATTACAGAAACATTGAACATCTATCATTCAAGTGTTCACGATCACCTGAAGAAGCTGGGATATGTAAGCAAGCTCGATATTTGGGTTCTGCATGAACTCAAAGAGGTTCATTTGATGGTGCATATAAACATCTGCAATATGCTCATTAAATGTGAGGAAAATTATCCTTTTTTGAAGCGACTGATAACTGGTGATGAGAAATGGATAGTTTACAACAATGTGGTGTGCAAACGGTCTTGGTCCCAACATGATGATTCGCCTCAAACGACATCAAAAGCAGACATTCATCAGAAGAAGGTTATGCTCTCAGTGTGGTGGGATTTTAAAGATGTCATGTTTTTCGAGCGCCTACCAAGGAACCAAACAATCAATTCGAATGTGTACTGTCGGCAATTGGACAGTTTGAACAAATCCATCATCCAGAAACATCCAGAACTTGTTAATTGTAAAGGACAATTGTAAATTGTCCATCGTGACAACGTGAGACCACACACAAGTTGGATCACCCATCAAAACTTATTGGAGCTTGGATGGGATGTGTTGCTAAACCCACCATACTCGCCTGACCTTGCACCATCAGACTTCCACTTGTTTCACTCTCTTCAAAACTCCTTGCGTGGTATAACGTTCAATTCAGGTGAGGCTGTAAATCAGCACCTTGTTCAGTTTTTCACGAATAAAGACAGGTCTTTCTATGAACGAGGAATTATGAAGCTCACTGAAAGATGGCAAAAGGTTATCAAACAAAATGGGCAATATATCATTGATCTTTGTTCTTTATATAAATAAATGACCTTTGAAAAACATAGACAAAATACGTCATGACTTTTCCGAAGACCCAATAATGCCAAAACTTTTCTTCATAGAAATATCTCTGCACTCAAGGAGCTGGATTCATGAATCACATTTTCATTTGATTAAGTTAGGGATGGGGTTGGAAAGGAGCTAAAATCCAGAACTATCTTTCCCTGATACAAGAACCTGCACTTGTCTGGTCTCTGGGATTTTTAAATCCAGTCAATGATTTCTTGGGACAATTTGTCACTTTGGGTGTTCTAAGAAAACATAATTTACTAAATCAATCAATGGAGAATAATACACACTTCCAAGACTAGGATGAGGATTAAAAGAGATAATGGTAGCCAAGAAGTAGAAACACCCCAAATGCCCATCAACTGATAAGTGAGTAAACAAAATGTGGCATATTCATACAAGGGAATATTATTTAGTCATAAAAAGAAATAAGGTACTGATACATGAACCTAAGTAATATTATGCAAAGTGAAGCAAGCCAGGCACAAAAGACTGCTTATTTTACAGTTCCATTTTTATGACATGTCCAGAATAGGCAAATCTATGGAGATAGAAAATAGATTAGGGGTTAACCAGGGGCTTAGGAGAGAGGGAATGAGGAGTGACTGCTGACTGGTAGGGGGTTTCTTTGGGGAATCATGGAAATATTCTGGAATTAGATAGTGATGATGGTTGCACACCCTTATGGATATACTTAAAACACCAAATTGTGTGCTTTGAAAGGGTGAATGGTACAGTATATGAATTATGTCGCAATAAAGCTGTAATGTAAAGAGAGTGTGAGGAAATGGATGTGAAGCCCTTGCACAGTTTCCAGTCTGGAGTAAGAGCCAGAAAATGGAAGCTGTTGTTTTATCTGGCTAAGGGGTAATTGTTTGATTTACAAATCTGGTCCTCCACTTAACAAAAGCCTTCACATCAGGGTTCCTCTAACAGCCAGCTTTCTCAAAGCATCTAAATATCTACAAATTCCAGAACATTTTTTTTTTCTCACAGCATTTCAAAAGTTTATTGTGTAAAGAGAGAAACATTAGACAATTTGTTCTTGGAAATTTTCAGACTGGTTTGGGTTTTCTGGTTATCTGAGTGGGTGCTTATTGTCTGAACTTGGGTACACTGGGGATGACTAGGAAATAAGGGTGAAGTAATTGCCCTCCAAGAGAAGGTTTAAAGTCTTGAGCCAGCTGGCTAGAACAAAGATTTGCAAAGTCATCTGAAGAGCACAGAGTGGATTCCTCTGATAAGGTAATGGATTAACTAGGCTAAGGAAAGAAGGTGCCCATTCTGAGGTGTGGCTGTTGACATACAAGCTGGAATTGAAGGAGCAATAGCTATCTTTATAGGTCCCAGGTCAGCAGAGACTAAGGGAAGCGGGGGTCTCTTGTTACCTTGGCTTAGGAAACTAGACAGCCTGGGTTCAAATCCCAGCCCCGTCATTTATTTACTGGGTGACCTTGAGCAAATTACTTAACCTCTGTGAGCCTTAACCTCCTCAAATTGGTCCCAGGGCCCCCAGGGATACCAGAATCTGAGGATCCAAGTCTCTTACATAAAACGGTGTAATATTTGCATATAACCTACGCACATCCTCCCATACACTATAAATCATCTCTCGGTTACTTATAATACCTAATACAATGTAAATACTTGTTATACTGTATTGTTTAGGGAATGATGACAAGAAAAAAATCTGTACATGTTTAGTACAGACATGTTCATGTCAGCAATGTAATTTTTTTTCAAATACAGAGGGCGCCCAAAAAATGTATACACATTTTAAGAAAGAAAAGAAACTATTAAAATTACGTTGCTAGTAACCACTTTGAGCATCTCTTGTAATTGCAGAAGTCAAACGTGACTTGTATTCATCTTTTGTTATCAGTATATATTAAGTATTAGAATTTTAATACAGCTTTTTCCTTTCTTAAAATGTGTATATGTTTTTTTGACACCCTCTGTATTTTCAATCCATGATTGGTTGACTCCATGGATGTGGAGACCACATATAGAGAGGGACAACTAACTGGCTTAGACTGTACTACTACTTATAATAACATAGATATCTAGATCCCTGTGATAGTGACTTCTCAACAAAATAGAACCAGTGGGCCTTTTGCTTTTATACATTACCTAGTGTACTTGGCTAACGGAAGTTCACTTCAGACAAAATGACTGCTCTCAGGAGACTTTGCAGGGCCACTGCATATGGATATGGATACACAGGCTATTCATTGCACAAGGAAGTAAGACTGCTAAAATACAGCCCATGTTCCACTCGCTTTGCCCAGAGGAAGCACCGTTTTCTAATTCATTCAAAGGTCCCTTGGGGCCAAGTAGTAGTCCTACCACAAAATCCAGGATGAGGGCCTGACTTGCCTCAAGGAAAACTCAGAAACACATGGAGGAACTAAATGCCTCACCCCC